GACACCCCTGATGTAGTCAGCACGTTTTGTGGAATGCACGTCTGGGATAAGACACTAAACGTTCACTGTCGCTTTCTCCTGAAGGGGGCGCCGCGTCCATGCACGCCGCCGTGATGACGATGGACGTTGATCCTGGCCAAGTCTTTGTGGGGTGAGACTTGATCAAGTCTCAAGTTTGCAAAAAATAAATCCAGAATGTTTCTTCTTGTTGTAATGAGCCTTCTATCATCTGCTGCTGTTCGGTCTGCTAAGAACACTGCACAGCTACATCTAAGACATCCAAAGCATCCACTGTGTTATTATCCCTCCTTCATCGATGAGCATAAAGTATCAGCAGTGATCAGCTGTTTGTTAGATGATCACTTTAAACAGGGTCCTGCAATGCAAGGTGAAGAAAACACACAACGAATGACTTCCTTTAAAGGAAACTGTGTTCTTCCAACGTGAACATACAGTTAGGATGTATCCTGCTCCGTATTGTGCAGCTCAGTCGGACCACAGTAAGAACAAACACATAGAAAATGTTACACCTCACCCAGTCAAAGGCATTGGAGGCTAATTAACGTCCTTCCAATTAGTGCAAAGCATCACACTTTAGCTAAATGCAAACAACTTGTGAACAAAACACTTCAAAGTCCTTTAAACACTTGTAGATGGTGCTTCTGTGTCATTTGCAATTAAAAAAATGTTCACAAAAAAAATCAAAACTATTGCTGCCACATTATCTGAAAAAATACTGTAAGTCTATGAACTGGTGACATGAAAACACGACCAGTTTTGTTCCTAAAGGCACCTTTCTTTACAGGACAAAAATGATTCCTTGCATAAAAGCAAAACTCTAGCTACATGTTAGCGTTAGCTATGGTAACTAAGTGTCACGGAAACGATTTTTCATGCATGAAAAATTTGCTGTAACTTGACAGATTTTGCCTGTTCTGTTAAATTACAGATAATGCAGTAAAGTCCAAGAAAAAAAGGCTTAAATCTACGTGCTAGTTTTTTGGGGTTTTTTTTAAAATCAAAAATGCCCCACTAAACACTCTGTAATGTTACAAATGCTACTTTGCAGTTGTAAAGTGTTTGACAGTGAAATGAAACAGATTTAACAGATTTTCTCCCTGTTTTCATAAAATTACAAATAATATCTGGTAAAATCAGAGGGAAAAAAGAGACACACATCATGCCCACACTAAAAGCTTTTTTTTTTATATAAATGGTGCTTCAATCTTTATCCTAAAATTACTTTATTTTATTTTTTGTATGTAAATCAGCAATAAGTATTATGCTCTGAATATTTGTTTTTATTTAGAAGAAAATCAAGCATATTAAGGATTGAACTGTAAACACTTTGTCTAAATGTTATTTGTACAGATTTTTCTTGATTTAATACACTTCAGATAACATGAAGAAAAATAACATAAAAAGGGTTTTTATGTTCTTTTATATATATATAAAGAGAGAGAGATCACAGTGGGTGAAAAGTGTTCCTAATATTTATTTGCTGGCTAAGGAGTGCCTGTGTCCAAAAAAATAATCTTTTTCTTTTTCTTTTAAACAAAAAAGTTGTACAAAATCTGTTATATTTTAATACAGATGCATAAATAAATACATATTCACTGAATGACGTCAGTGTTGAGTTGAAGGCCAGTGTTTCACTTTAATGCATCTGTTGTGTCTCTATGGCTCATGTCTACGCTCTGCTCTCAAACTCTGTCGTAGAGATTCAGAGAAATTCACATCTGACTGGATATTTCCAGGAAAACAGTGCAGCTTTGCAAAGAGTCTGATTTACCCATGAGTCATATTTAGGGTCTGAGGACCCCTACTTGCAAACATAGACTGTATAAAAGATGGACGTTGCAACCGGCCCTGAAAAATGGCTCCAAAAAGCCCTGGCTCCCATAGAAATGAATTGGAAAAGAAGTGATCACAGATCACGAAATACCGCATTCCTACAGCTCAGGATTTTAAAAAAAATTAGTTTTCATGGTCNCCCTAGTGAGGATTAAGGTGTAGAGATGATGGATATTTGATGTTATTTGATAGAAACGTTCTGAATATTAAGGATTGATTGTTTCACAGATTTCAGTAAAATCACAGTAAAAAGTCATAATTTATGTAAAATCCATAAAAAACAGTAAATAATGTGGAATCAGATGATTTTGTTTTTTCATCTCATCGTGTTTCTATTAGCATGTTTTATATTGTATTCTTATTTTTACAGACATAAAGTCAGTAATAATTTACATGTAATCCATTTTTAAAATAAAGTAAATAAACATGATTTCATGTCAGCAGATGATTCTGTTTTTATTTTCATCTCATTGTGTTTCCATTCATGTGTGTTGGGTCTCTACACTGTAACATTGTTTTTATTATGTTTTAAACTGGAACTATTTACGGTTATTTTATGGATCCAGACTCGTGATGATATCCAGTAACGGTAAAACCCTTCAGCTTTGTCCATGAAATAGAAAGTGTCATATTGACTTGTTTTCATGTTACATGAACATTCAGTATATCTATAGTTTTTATTTGTTATTTTAAGTATGTGCTGCTGCATTATCTAAAGACATACGGTTTGTTTAAAAACTAATAATTAAGCCAGTTCTTAAGAAAAAAAAAAACAGCCGTTGTTCGTCCGTTGGCTCCGTTCTCCGTTAACGGAACCGCCGCCAGTCCGCTGCTGGAGGATCCGACTGGAGGTCAGCTCTGTTCTCTCTCTTCTCTTTTATTGTTTTAACTTTTACCAAAGTCCGCTTTTCTTCAATTCTTAAAAATAAAATAAAAATAAAAATAGCCGAGAAACGCCGTTAAAGTGACGCGTTGATGTCATGTCGTGTCCCCGGTCGTCCGGTAACGGTCAGAGCCGCCGTTTCCTCACCTGGACACCCACTTATGAGCAACAGGTTTTTAGTAATAAGGTAACAGAGAAACATCGTAAGCAGCTAATTTGATAATGTCAAAGATCCGCAAGGACACGTGAACGCGTCTGGAGGGTTTTCTGGGTTGCAGAAGGGACCCTGAACCGTCCACGGGACACATGAGGCTCTCAGGGTTCCCATGTGACAGTCCCCATGAATGCTGACTGACTTTTTATTTATTCAGTTTTCATAGTTCTCATGTTTGATGTGAGTGTTGCTGCTGATGCTGCTTTTAGATGTCGTAAATTATGACTCTCTCAGAAATAAGAGCAGAGACAATTAGTTTTCTTCTCTTGAGCTGATGGAGTTCAGTCCACAGCAGAGTCAGAGAGCAGCAGAACAGATATCCATCAAACTATCACCAGCCTCCGAGGAGCAGCACAAACTGATCATCAGTTTATATGAAAACCACCTCGCTGGTTCAGGAGACTCCTCGAATAATCTGAGAGGAGAAACTCTTCCCTAACTGGCCAAATGAGTCTCTATGCTATGAATTAGGGAGTCCTGCACTGATCTGATTCTGAACGTCTTTGTTCTGTTCTCTCCTGCAGCGTGAGGAACTCGTCTGTCAGAGCGCTCGACCCGCAGTCCCTGTGAACTGAACGAACTGAACTACAGCACAATCAGCGTTTGCTTCATATCAAAGACGCTCAGAGGAACCTGACCGCCGTCAACACCATGGCTGACGACACAGCAGACCACCCTCCAGGGAATTCGGATGCCGAGGCCAACCCCGATGGTAAGACCCCTCCAGTATGTTTCTGTGTATGCCAGACTAAAGGCTTGGACATCAAGTTTGTCCATCCTGCTGTGAAGATGTTGTGCAGCATCTAGTCACTGAACAGAGGACCTTCCATTAAACCAGTAGGAGCCTTCCACCTGTCCCCTCACTGTCAGCGGATCTGTTTCGATGTACAACAACCGTGCAAAATGTGACTCTCATAAAATGTTTAGAGGAGAAATACTCGTTATTTGTTAGAAAATACTGAGAAGTGTGTCCCAGAC